AACGGAGTCCACATGAGTTCCACTCACCAATCCTCATAGGGCACAGTTGACAATATCAATGCTTAAAAATCGAAGCTGTTAATGTCCTCGTTGAAGAATTGCGCGGAAATCAGAATTTTTTCTGTTTTCGTAGCGCAGTTCTTCAATGCGGCGCTGCAAAATCTTACCGCCTTGACCATCTCCTGCAAGTTTACCTGCATTGCGAGCTCGGAGAATTCCCGCTGGACGCTGTCAAGGATTGCCACCGGATTCCCATTTGCACTATGGGATTGAGCGGGCAGCCCATGGACAGAGCTTGCCGAACGCTTGTGGGCGAGGCTTGTGGAAAGAGCTGGCTGGCGTACTAAGGGCGGAAATTCTGCCAGCGAGTTCAGTTGACTGGGCAGCTTGGACCTGTTGTCGTTTGGCGCCATGGTCCTGCTGTTTGGTGATGGGTGAATCGGGCCGGAAGCGCGCGCGGTTTGCCACCAGGCTGGTCTTGTTGGTAGGGGTGCCGGAACAAATTGCTGCCGCTCTGGTGCTGGTGTCTGTGCCTGTTTAAAAACATAAACAGGGCAGTTGTCGTCAAAGCTGCAGTGTGGGCCCCCACAGTTGGCACACTTTAGAGTGGCACCGGGTGGGCATGCCGTGATTTCGTGCGCTTCGGCGCAGCGGGAGCACTTACAGTTCCTGAAGCAATTTGCAGAAACATGGCCCCAGCCCTGACAGCGACGGTACTGTGAAAGGGATTTCCTGTTGTTCCTAGTCTCCCAGGACACTCTCACACTGCAGACCACCCTTGCTTCAGCTTTCAATGTTCTTATTGTGACCTTATCATTGGTCACAACTAAGAAAAGAGGCCTAAATTGGGTTTTCATTGAGAAAACATTTTTGGTGTCAATGCCTTTTTCAATGAGGTCCTCTTTTATCTCTTGCGGCTGAACGTTTCCCTCCAACCCCCTGAGAACAAAAGCGTGCGTTTTTTTGCCAGCGCGAACATACGTGTGGAATTGGCTGCTATCCGCTTCCAGTGATCTTTTTACCGCCGCCCAGTCGAGTATGCAGCTGCAGTATACAATTAAAGACGATTTTGTATACTTCAGACTAAAGGGTTTGCTGGTGATTGATTCAAGCCCTTTAACCA